GCTCTTGATAAGCCTGCATTCCTCTCGCCATGCATCCCATTCAGCCTGCAGCTCATCATTCCACTCCTGCAGCCCCGTATCCTCATCATCCCACTCCTGGGTCTCCATCTCATCTATGGAAACCTTTGGCACTTTCATTTCCTTCGCTTCCTTCTTCTCCTTCTTCGTCTTGTTCTCCATCTCATCTATGGAAACCTTTGGCACTTTCATTTCCTATGTTTCCTTCTTCTCCTTCTTTGTCTTGTTATTGCTTCTTGCTGGCTCTGCATTCTCTTCTGGCTCTGCATTATCTTCCTCTTTGGGTGCTTTCTGCTTCTTGTTCTTCTTATTCTCGTATACCCATGAACCGTCACGTTCTACACCAGTTCGCTTGATCCCTGAGCCGCCCGAGGATGCCGAGAGGGCTGACGACTTTTCTCGGATCCTCCTAGGAGGTGTTGGCTTCGTAGCACCTTTCCACAACTTCGGCCTAGGTGGCAAGACCGATAAACTAAAATCTGCATGCAGCTATGTACAATANNGAGACTCCTTCTTCGGCGACTCGGAGGTAAGGCAAAACTTAGCCTCATCATAGGACAGCTTTGCTGTCTTCATCAGGGCCTTGATTTCTTTCTCCATGCTGGGCTACGGCTACGGACTACCAGTTATAAGCCTGCAGCTAACAACCTAGAGCAACAACATCAAGGCATGCCAAGCTCAACTCGACCGTGCATGATATGCTGCATGCATGCAAGCAGTGCGTGGCTTTTGCACTTGGGCCCAGAGCCGTATACGTACCCATGGGTTTAGGGTGTAGGGTTTGCTATGTTTAAAGTGGTTTAAGTATAATCGGATGCATATATAGAGTTATAGTCGCTATATATATATATATATATATGTTTAAGGATCTTGAGTTTAGGGTTATAAAGCCATATGATATAGATATATAGGAATGGACAATCCAATCCGGTGCATTAGTGGCGCAATACTCAGAATCGGGCCGAATCCAAGGGAAATTGAGGGACGTACGGTGCATTTTGGCGCATTACTGAGAAGGACGTTTTGTATGGACATTGCGGTGCATTTGAAACATTTTGTATGGAAGTTGCGGCGCATGTGTATTGTTTTTGTATCGCGGCGGTTCGGGGGAAATTGTGGTGCGTACTGCGAGGGTATGCGGGGGCCTGGCACAGCTAGGTCGGGATCTAGGATCGGGCCCGCACGGCCAATCATCAGCTTGATGTTGGCCTGGGAAAGCAGTCAAGCAAACCAAGTCAAGCATGGCATGCACAAAAAGTCGATTTAGACCAGGGCCAATCGTCCTCGACCTGGGCGGGAGTTCTCATCTAAGCAACCAGAGCACATTATGATTTTACATATATATAAATATATATACACACACATACCATCATGTTGGTCTTCTGTATTAAAGATATAAAAGCTTAGTGTTATTTATATATATATATATACGTTCCTATACATCTAGCAGTGCAAACCATCGAGCCAATCAATCATGCACAAGATCACTTGAGCTCAGATCCCCACCAATGACCAGCTCGAGTCGACCTGGGCGAGCAAAGTACTCATTACAATCCATGCATGCCATGCAAGCACAACACGATGCAAGACAATATCAAGACAATCAATCATGCGCAAGCAATCGACCAATCTTTTTCAATTAACTTGCAATATTGTACAGGACGGCTCTTATACGTAGCTGTACATTGGCTTTCCAGCAGCCACAGCTTAGAGCAAAACTCTGGAGTGCAGGGCCTATGTGGCTCTATCGTGTGCATGCGAGCGATTGTGTGCATGGCATTTAACCTAGCTCTTTATAAACTATATATAGGCCGGTCCCCAGCAGCCTGATGCACCTTTGTTGGGTTGAGAGCATGTGTGCTTAAGTTGTTAGATTATGAATCGCCCCATAGCCTGCACTCGTCGCCTAAGACCGGCTGTCCCGTCTCCGCCATCGCCGCCGGGATCGCCTCGAAGACCGAGATCGCCGCCGAGATCGCCGCCGGGATCGCCTCAACCGAGATCGCCGCCGGGATCGAGATCGCCGCCTGGATCGCCTCGACGTCGGAGATCGCCGCCTGGATCGCGATCTCGGCGTCGCCGATCTCACTGGCAATGGCGATTGCGATCTCTCCTTCGCCTTCTGCATGAGGAGCTCCTCCAGCTGGACCTCCTCATGCAACTCCCGGAGCTGGCTGCGAAGCATACCAGAATACACCTGGCTAGCCTCGCTAGCACCAACATCGCACGACGATGAAGAAGCTTTAGGGCATGCCTGAGGTTGTCATGCAAGCCAAAGCAAACAAGGCAAGACAATGAAAAGATACATTACTTTGAGGAAAGGCGTGAGAATTTAGTAAAGTCTGTGTTTGACAGCAGGCCTTGGCCGAGGCCCCTGGGAGCGATGGCTCATGCTCATGCGCAAGCTCAGGTTCAAGTGAATCCTGCACATACAAGCCAAGCCAAAACATGGCAACTCCCTATACGGGGGGCTGGTGCTTTAAGGGTTTATACTTTATTCAATCAAGGCCTCGACGGTCTCAACCATGTACGGATCATGCAGTGGAATGATAGCTGCACCGTCCGGATCTGCAGGATCTGAAGCCTATGCCAAAAAATAAGCCGTGCCAAAACATGACAACCCTTTTTTAGAAAGCGTTAATTAAGCCTCCAGCGGATTCAATTTTATTGAACTATAGGCCTCGTATGTGGCGGGATCCAAAGCGTGAGCTTCCTTCCGTCGGCGGCACCATTAATGCAGGTTCAGCTGCCTAGCAATCAAACCAAGCAAAGCATGTTAACACAAGTATAGGGTTGGTGCCTTTAAATTAAGGGTTGTGCTTAAAGGTTTCAAGATTTTATAGGTTTAATCAAGCCTGTAACGGATTCAATTTTATTGAACTGTTTATAGCCTCGTCTGCTGCGGCATCCATGGCGTGGGCTTCCGTCGGCGGCACCGTTAGTGCAGGTTCAGTTGCCTAGCAATCAAACCAAGCAAAGCATGTTAACACAATTTTAGGGTTTGTGCCTTTAAGGGTTGTGGTTGAAGGCTTCAGGATTTTATAGGTTTAATGTATTCCAATCGCAAGAAGCCTTGCCCAAAGCCGGCTCACCAGCAGATGCTGTAGAATCTGGTCCACCGACCTGCAAACACAAGAAATCAAGCAAGGCAACTCCTACCAATATTTACAGGTACGGGCTATATATATATATATATATATCTATATATATATATATATATATTGTAACTTATGATTGTTTGGTTTCCCTAGGCTGGGCTTAACCTCGGGAGGAGCTACCGGTAGCTGGGCAGGCGGAAAGATAACCGGAGGAGGAGGCGTCGAACTGCAAGGTTTTGGCGGCGGCGGCAGCAGCCGCCGGCGAGGGGGCACCGCCGGAGGAGCAGGGATCGTGGTTAGATCTACAGGTGGCGGCACACTCGGTGGACAAGGCGGCCGACGATGAGGGGCCGGGGGCACCGGCAGGTTCGCCCAAAGGTCATCAGAGATCGTACGACCAGCCGCCACCAGCCTGACCATCCATCCTCTGCCATGGTCACTAGCTATCAGGATCGACTTTGATCGACTTAAGTTCCTCAGTAGGTTGTGCAAGTTCTAGATCGCTCACTTAATCTATTGGTATACACCAATTTAAAGCTACATCCCTCGACCCCTCAAGCTCAGACCAAGCAAAAAGTCGCGGCATGGCATGACGCGATGTATGTTGGCATGAGCTGAGTTAGTGATGCATGGAAGCATGCCTCGATGTTCATGGCAACCTACATGCAGGGTGATGCTTAACATGTTATGCGACCAAGAACTTGCCAGCCAAACTTCATCATGCCGAAACCATGTCAACCCATGCATTGCTTTGTCAAGCCATGCACCAATGCTCAACTTTCGAGATCAAGAACGGATGCAATGAGAGCCGGACCCATCAAAGCCCCAGCTCGACAACCAGGTCGATCCGAGTACCTGGCCCGATTAAACAGAACATGCAAAGTGGCTTACATAATGAGGTATGTTGGGCAACATGAGAATCTGAAGAGTGATGCAATCAGTGCTTTTGCCATGCAAGCGTTTGCAGGCGAAAATTGTGTTGGGAAGTCCGCTTAAGCTTATGTTGGTTCAAAGCGTACGACATCCCCGGGATGACCAGCAAATGCGCAAGTCCCAATCTGAGCTCAGGACTGTTAGTCCAGAAAGATAGGCTTGCACGTATATATGCTGTTGCGTGCCACCCCATTGATGACAAGCACGCCCAACCCATTGTGATTAATTAGAAGTGCCCCGTACAGCCGAGCTAGTTGAAGGAAACTGTGGTAAGTGGCGTGGCTAGCTCGGTCAACACACATGTGGCTACTGAAACCTAAGATCTTCAGTGGTCGCCGGTGCAAAAGCGTCGACCAAGGCACACAGCGGAGCTTCCTCCAAAGCTGGAAAAGTTGGCAAGGAAACCTCACGGAAGTCCATCTGAAACTTCTGAATAATGGGCGCAAAACGCCCGTATCTTGACACACCATCAGCACAATTGGCCTTGCTCTCCACAAACTCATGCCATGCGCGGACATGAAGCTTTGCGAACAGCAGGTGATAAGCAGCTAACAGCGCTGCATTATCTTCCAAAGAGCTGACTCCGCTGATGGCTCCTTCCAAAGCCGAGCTGTTGTCTACG